TTTTTTTTTTTTTTTTTTGCAAAAACATAACTATTCCACATGAATAAGGCTACCATTTAAAGTAAAGAACCACATGAAAATTGAAAATCAACAGCAGCATACAAGAGATAAAATTTCTCATATTTATCTCAGGAGAGAACCCTATACCTCAGGAAAATTGCCATCAAACCACTATATCCCAAGAAGGTTTGGAATGCTGAACCAATAATTATAGCCCCCTGTAGCTCTTTCATTATGTGCTTGAAGTTCTGCCATTAGAAGCTCTTTCATAAGAAAAGGCCAAAATGCCATTAAGGCAGATCATTTAATTACAGAATTAAAAGTGGCTAAAGAAATATTTGAGCATATATGGAACGCTGAAAGATTCTAGCAAAATGTTTCTACTATATGTGGCCATTTGATTTTTCAGGTTTATCGATCCATTGCTCGAATAAGGTGTCTCCGATTGAGTTATTGTAGCATTGAACACTAAAGAGGTATGTACTAGAGGTCTTCTCGGTACTTTGCCTTTGTCACCACCCAGTTTTGTCCCCCCAAGCATGCAAAGTAGAAGTCTTTCTCCGATCCTCCCATAGATAAAGAAAATAAATGAAAAGATATATATATATATATATATATATATAATATATAATATATATATATATAAGCAATTCAAACCTCACACAATTTCCGGTCACATACTTCAGTTTCACTTGCAGGTGTCAAACATATTACCACATTGTTATCTACAATTGATGATCATTTTATGAGATTAAAAACTTAACAAAGCAACATGACATCACTAAAGAACAAAACAAAATTATGTGTTAATCTATATCCCAAGTAAAGTTCGCTTTTAGTCTCATCTCTTGTCTTATAATAGCCAAAATAGCTACCTTCAAATGATAACAACCCACATAGTTAAAAAAACCAAGATAAACCCTATAAGATTTGCAGCTTACTGAGTTGGGTTGGGGGGGACTAAATTATATAAAAAAAAAAAGAAAATCAAATAGTATTATTATTAGCCAACAAGAGAAAACGCGAAATATAATGACAAAGGGAAGAAATGAAGCTTGTTAATATAACACACTAAATCCAAATACATACATTTCCTTTAAGCCCCAAAAATTCAGGAGAGTTGATAATAGCAAGTGCTGGTGCAAGATAAACAAAAGAAGGACCCTGTATTAAGGGCAATCTTGAACCAAACGATACGTGCAAAAGTGTGGTCACTCCTGAAATAAACAGCACAGTGGAAACTACATCGGCTGTGTCTTCCTACAAAAATGGTCGTCTTTGTTAGTTCTAGTTATCTACAGAAGATAACTCTACACAGGAAGAGAAAGTTTTAGAGATTAAATGTCAAATGAATTACAAGTGCTCACATAGGTGCCACCCATTGCAGGAACTATTACAAGCGGAATTAGTATCAATGAGCCCAACATTGAGAGAAAATGCTGAAATCCGTAGAGACCAATGGGAACTGAAACAACAACCAAAAAAAAAAAAAAAAGACAACTTACAAATTTGACAGCCTGAAAACCTCATCACAGATAAGTAGCCATCACAATTATATAGGCTTAAATATGCCAAGGATATACAAAACATAAAAAACCATTATAGAAGTATCCATCTAAAATCCAATTGCAAAAAGGAGACACTTCTTATATTCAATAAAATGGATTATTTTCAGCAGGAAAAGTGGTATGGAAAAAGCTAAGAATTGAATTAGTTAAAACGAGAAGGTTTTACAAATGAACAATAGATTGTAAAACCAGAAGCTTTTGCAATAAACTCAAAGCTGACATATTTCTTCTGCCTTCCACCTAAATTTCAAAGTCACTTTTTGAAGATTGCAACTTTTAGCTCCAATTTCAGCACTAAATTGTGCAAGACATGAAAATATTTTCATCTCAACATAAACCACTAGAAGCCGGCTCATATTATTTTCCTCCGGCTGATATCAAAATCAGCAGAACATTGACTATTCCAGAAAAGCATACACCGCTGAATGCCAAAAAGATGAGAGATTGAAGTAAAAACATACCTAGACCAGGAGAATCTCTAAGCTCGTACTTCATATGTGAATGTCTAGCCACATAATCATCATCGTCCAGCACCGACTGATGCGGCACATCTACTGCAACAACCTCCTCGCCTCTAGCCGCCCTCCGGCTACCCTCGCCCCCATTCGCCGCCAAATTCTTTCCTCCATCGGACACCCTCGGCTTTCTCACAGGCGGCGTTTGCTCCTTGGCATTCTCCTTTTCCTTGGTCCTGTCCCTCGCAACAACAACAGCCTCCCCATTGGAAGCTGTGCCGGGCCTCGGGCGCCCGGCTTCGATGTCGAGGCTGGTATCTGGCTCCTTGGACTTCGGCAGGGGCGGTTGAGGCGGGGGTAAAGATGTCATTTGACCGGAGTTGCTGGCATTGGTCTCGCCGGAGAACTTTGGGCGGAAACCGGTGCGCTTGGCCCATGAGGAAGGCGGCATTGCGGCGGAATCGGGCGCAGGCGGCCACGGTCCGGGTCGAGGCTTCTTGTCCGGTTCGGAGTTGGCCATTTATTATCAAAGCTTACAGGCCACACTACAAATGCATAGCTACAGAAACGAGAAATGTATTCAACAAGAAACGAACAGAGGAGGTAAGCAATTGAAGTCGAGTGTGAGAGCAGATCTGGAGCGATTGCTAGGGTTTTGGAGTTGAAGAGGGAGAGAGAGAGAGAGTAGCGTATGTGGAAAAGATCTGTACGGCTGTGGTAGTGAGTGAGAGAGTAAATTGAGAGGTGGTGTGTGTGTGTGAGAGAGAGAAAGATACATACAGAGAAGGATTAGGACAAACGAGAGACATTTCTTCTGCATTAGAGCCGGAAAAGCGCGTTTTAATATTTTCTGCACAAAGAATAGATACAGTGTAATGTTGCTTAAGCAAGGTCTTGGGTTCGAATCTTTGTGAATACGAAAAATTTTTGTTGGAAGACTCACTCACTATTATTAGGTATGCGACCCAGATCGACCAACATATTAGTCTAGACAATACTCCAGATATCGTGGTTGGCTATCGAAAATTAAGTCATTATCCATTCCAAAACCAGAAAATATATATACATCTTTATCCATCCATACAATACAATACAAGCTGTGAGTAAGGAGATGGTCCCTTTCTCTGGCCCATTTGTTGGACTCAGAAGAACCCAAATTTGTGTCCAATCCAATTGCTGTTGCGTAATAGTTAAACGGACCGAAATTAAAAATAAATAAATTAGAGAGAGTTATCTTGCCATATTTAAGGGTAGGTGGTAGATTATTTTTGAAAAGATGTGTGACCTTTTCAAGCCACATCAACGCACCTAACATAAATTAACAGCTGATCCATTTATATTAGGGAGAATGCGGGATGGGTTCCATTATATTTTTAAGCGTATATTATTTAGGAAAATTTTCATGTATACTTACCATTTTTTAAGTAATTGCAATATTATTTTTAATAAAACTTTAATTGATATTATACCTAATTGATAAGATTTATTTGCATTCATGCTTAATGTCAGTTACAATTCTCTCTCAATCTTATCCCCCTATTTTTTTGTGCACGATTTGTGGATTGATGATGGAAATAATTCAATTTGAATTTAAAAACACGAGATCATTGAGACAGACAGGAAAAAAAAAAAGAAAAGCAGATGTGGTCGTCATTGTTCTCCATTCCCAAAAATATACCAGAGAAAAAATGTCGGACGAGTTCTTGCATTGATACAGACCAAATATACGTGAATATACCTGATAATATACTATTAATATACTAGTTTTATAACCTGTCAAGAAAATTATTTTGATAGTGGATCGTTGTCATATTATATATTGATAATATACTATAAATATCCTAATGGGTGCAACATGTTCACATTTTGTAACTGAATATATAATAAACATATAATATTATAAAACACATATACATATACCATACCTCTTATATACTGATAATATACTAGTTTAGTCATTTGCCATTGAAGAGATTTTTTTCGCTGATAATATACTAGTTTAGTCATTTGCCATTGAAGAGATTCTTTTCGCTGGGAGAGGAAAACATGGGGCGGACGTGGTTTTGGAGAGAGAGAGAGAAATGAACGCAGATGGAGAGAGAGATTGCAAAAGTGGTTCCCTTTTTTTAGATAAGTCAATAATTATCTAAATTAATTGTGATACTCAACTTCATTTTGTTTGGATAATTCATTAGAAACCGTTACATATTCATAATTCAACATTTAGGTATAAGTGCAATATTTTATGCAAGATTTGGTAAATCTATTATATTAGGTACAAAAGTGTAATATAAATGATAACTGGAAGTAGGGAGTGAAATTTCCTCTATTATTTACACATTACTAGATTACATGTATGCCTACTGATGTAGAGAAAGCGTACGAATGGGAAATGATAAAACGAGTAAACGAGATACTCTCTCGTAAAACACGTAAAACTCACAAAATTCAATCAATTCTTATTTCATATTCAACTGACTAAAACAATATATGATGAGCCCTTTAAATAAGACTCCAAAATCATATTCCTAACTTGTCCAACAAGACAAGATCTCTAATAATATTTAAGTCCTAACTTATTCACCAAGATACCTAATAATAATAATAATAATAATAATAATAATAATAATAATAATAATAATAATAATAATAATAATAATAGCAATCCTAATAATTAAGGCCTTATCCGCATCATTCTCCCCTGGTTCGGAAGGCTTCGTCCTCGAAGCCGTGCAAGACGCGCCGACACCGGAGTCGTACCCATGGAATCCATTGCTCATCGTTTCCCCCTATCGAACACGAAAGTGGAAGGTTGTCCAATAGCTCCAATGGTAATCATAATGTTGGGAAATGACGTAACTGCAACAAAGGACTACCCAGCGAAATTAACACCATAAATACCATGTCGTTTGCCGCTCTCAAATCCACAAT